CCACAAGAAGCCAGGTGGCATGAGACATTTTAAATTCTTCCATTCCATTTGAATCACCCCGTTTTGTACTTATATTCCCTGACAATATGTGAAAGGTGTCAATTTAAATTTCCGTTTTGGAGAACAGTCCCATTTTCAGTAATAAGCACTTATCTAAACGTTATGGAGTCGGCATGTGTTACACCACAGGCGTGCCACATCTCAACCGAAGCCCTTTGCAGAGGAGGGGAAAATAATATTTTCCAATGTTGAAGTTCAATTAAAAGCAGACTACAAGGAATGACCCTGCCTGGTCTGTTATGTCTCAAATATCACAAAATCACAATTCCGTAAACGAGAGAATGAAGTCATATTGAGATACTTATGGAGAATACCTTTGTGTGTATGAGGGAAATAACATATTTGTGCATGTGTGTGCATTTATAGTACATTCCATACATTTGATCATTTAACTTGAAGTATGCACTGTGACCTTTGAGACAATAAAAATATATTCCCTACTTTTTTTCATTGCTTGCAATCTGGTATAATAATGATTACAGTATAGAAGAATTTAAAATTTCATATACAATGTAATTATGGTACAGGTTTAAGGCACTGTGTTTATTTTTATTATTCTCAATGATGATGTATCAAGTCAGATCATGAATCCTCTATAGGAATAAGATGATTATGGTTATTTCACTTTTAAAAAGTAATATCAACAAAAACCAAAAACCTTAGAGTCTTGGTTTCATTTTAAAATATTTCAAGTCAATTCTGCTCATAAGCTCTATAGACTCAGGCTAAGCAAACACGAAATAGAAAAAAGTGGCCTAGATCTTATTTCTCAAAATGTGGTCTGTGTATCAGCAGTGTCTGTATTATGTGTATGTTAGAATCTACTCCCCAGACCTACTGAGTCAGAATTTGCATTTTGAACAAGATCCTCTGGTGATTCATATGTACCTTAGTGTTTGAGAAACACTGTTTCAGAGATTAAGTCAGCCTCAGACCTGCAAATGGCCCAGCCGTTTAAAAATTAAGAACTTGATACAGATCTTGCTACGAGTTTATCTGAAATAAAACATCATTTATGTACAGACACAGAGATATGAAAGACAGAAGCTGATGTTTCTCAAGAGAACTGTAAAACAGTACCTTAAGACATTAAGCTTATGAAGGTTATAAGCTTATAGATTCATTCAAACATAATTTCATAGTTCTCCCAAGTGTATTTTTTTTCTTATAGTTTAAATGTTGGCATTACGCTCTGCTCTCTCCTGAATTCTTAAGCAAAGTAGATCTATCTGCAATCTTAGAACAGTCCTTAGGAGCCCTCATGTTTATGATGCTAATTCTGAAAAGAGAAAGAGATCCGTTTCCAATGAGGCCAGACAAAAATCCTCAGCACATGTTCATAATTGGGACATCAAATATACCTATCAAGGTATGGTATGTTGGCATTTCAAAAACACTGTAGTATTCATTTTCTGATTTCATCCCCAGGAATGAAACATGACTTTACCTAGTGCTGATTTCTGAGACTAGCCTCCATTAGCATATGTGACCTATATTTTCCCTAACATGTTTTAGAAGGAGCAGAACTCAGTGAGGAAGCCACGACAGTGTGCCAGCTGCTTCATTTGGTTATCAAATGAGGTTTGTGACCATGGATGGGAGTTTCATTCCATATAAACACAAAGAAAATTTTATTACCAACTGAAATTTTACAGTCACTGAGGTCATTCTGAACACATATATCTTCTGGTAGAGGAGGAAGGGAACAATACAGACGACAGAGTTTCACATGCATCCGCCCAGCACTTAGCACCTGGCAGGTTGCTGACCTGCTCTCCTTGCCTGTTGCATCTACTACAACTTCCCAGAGCTTTGAAGGTGAGAGTTATGTTCGTACAGCCAAATGAATGCAAACTACCTATTTTAAAAATAAGACTCTGGTGAGTCAGGTGCAAATTTGAGCTTCAGACTCCCTTTTCATATGATGCTAGCATAAGGGAAAGGTTGGAGCTGGGCACTGGGTATAAATGATACATCCCCCCATACGGAGCAGGGCAGCTGTGTCTGGGAAGGTGCTGTCTGCTCTTGGCTGGTCCAGCGCCCTCAGGTTTTAAAAACTAGGAACTGAGTGAGATGTTATGATTAAAATGCCAGCTCTGACCCCGTCAACGATAGCTAATGGGGTGATGCTGATTTTCCTATGACTTTTAGAAATGCAGTATGGTATTTCTAAATGAAGCTAGTCAGAATAGGATTTATCAAGGCACAAAATTGAAGAGATCTGACCTTCCTGTTACAGAGATAGACATACAGACACAGACACAGACACAGACACAGACACAGACACAGACAGAGAGAAGATACAGATCTTTTACCAGGAGTCAAGTATTTGATCTGGGTGGCGCCCCTGAGAAACCCCCACAGGCAAAACTGACAAACCCAAAGCTAACACCATTCTTTTTTACAAACATGTAAAACTTTATGGAAATCTGCCTTTTTAACTGAATACAGACACTATCAACAACAGAAGAGACATAGGTTTCTGTTATCTTGGTCTCTGCATATCTGAAACATTTTTTCACAGTTTTTAAACAACTTTTATACACAAACATCCCCCACTCAGCTTACCTTGGTAATTTGTATAGATCAAGCTCACCCAGCAATATCACCCTAACTCCTCCTAGAAAATTAACTGCTAATGCTTGTACCTTTCTCACTATAACTTCCTCCTCCTACTTCTTGAAAATAAGGTGTTGGCACCATATAGCGTCCTTTCACTTTTTCATACTAACCTTAGTATTTATTTCTCTAAGACTCTCCCTTGTTCTTTATTCTTATCTCATCCTGACTTTCTGCAAACTCATTAAGGTGATATAAAGGGTTGGCAACCATTCCTTCCTCTTGCCAAAAAAAAAAAAAAAAAAAAAAAAAAAGAGGGGTAACTCAAACAAAATAAAATCAGGTTGCAAATGCTGAATAAAAAGTTCAACAGAATGTGCTAGCCCTGTTTTTTCTCCTAGAGATGAGTCTTCAGGGGCTAATCCTTCCATGGGTCCCTCACCTTAAAAAAGAAGGTTCTAGAGATCAAGGGTCTCCTCTGTGGGGACCCAAAATGTGCCTGCTCCTTGTTTCATGAGATGAATGAATACCTTGTGCTCATTTTTAATATCAACTCAAAATTAAAAAGACACTTGTACATTCCTCTTTCCCTTATCGTAATTATAAGAATGAGGAGCAAGGTGCCCGCTACCTATGGAGAAGTAGTTAAGAAATCAGACCCATACCAGCAGAAGGAGACTCTCACAGAGACTCCAAACTGCTGTTGGGCTCATCTTAAGTGGAGTAACACCCACTGTCCCTACATGACTGAGCTTGCTGCTGCTTTAGTAAGAGATGACTATGACTTCTTAAAATCAGACCAAGCCGGTAACTCACATGCCTGGCAAGTTACTGATAGTCTTTAGTTGACTTCAGAATGGCTTTTCTAACTCACAGGACAGACTGGGCCTTTCTCAAGGTCATGAGGGATAACCTTTTTTAAACACGGCTTCTGATGTGACTTCTCTTTCATAGGTGCCTCTCTTCCAGTGAACTCTCATTTGAATGATGGAAATGTGAAGAATTAGAAAAAGCAAAATAAGGGTAACTTTAAAAAAGCAGTAGCAAAGGAGTGATCAAGTGGGTTAGACTGAAGTATGAAGTAAAATGTAGAATATAAACCCCTGGCCCAGGCTAGATTTGAAAGAGTTGCCCTTGTTCCCCTCTCCTCTCATGCAAACCACTGCTCTCCCAGAGTCTTACATTAAATTCTACCCCTGTTGACCTCTTCACTTCTCTGACTTTTACCAACTGCCTGGACGCCCTTCTTCATTCACTGAAGTCTTGAGCACAGAGCCCAAAATTCTTTTTTTCTTAGTGCTTAACTTCTCTCTATTGGCCCATTTTTACTGTGATTTCAACAAGTCCAAGTCCCTCCTAGTCTTCAAAACAAAGAGCATATTCCACATTCACCTCCAATGCATTTAGAGGCTTTGGCCAGATAAAAAACAAAACAAACAAACAAAAAAACAACATTTTTTAAAGATCCAATTGTGTAATTCTCCCTATTGCATCCCTGGTAAAATCTCAAATCTTCATCTTTGTCATATTAGCGTGTGTCCTCCTTAACAACACTGGACATGTTCTCAGTTTTCACAAGCGCTCTGCTCATCTCCTGCCCTCGAACACACTGTTTTCTCTAGATCTTCGCCCTGTTCTCATCATCGGTGTGCTCTTCCCTCAAGTGCCTTTTCGGCAGGGATGCCTGCCCTGTGTCCCACACCGACACGCTGAATTCTCCATTCTTTCTCCAAAACCCGTTCGGAGGGAGAGTTTGCCATTCGTGCGTTTTGGCAATAATCTAAAACTTGACCAAATTCATCATCATCTTATTTATCCACCTTTCCTTGTATTCCCACTTCAATGACCCCCAGCCATTGGAGTGGTTACATTAGCCAGGAAACTGCCTTTACAGCATGGGGAAGGATTCTGCCTACAAGTTCATTCAACAGCGTTCTCAGGCTCTGGTTCACATCATTTCAAACTGTCATACTCCAATAACTGCAGCTACTGCCACACATAACACACTCAGAGGCATAAGAACCAGAGAAACTGCATTTTTTAAATCCTATAGTCACAGTAACTTACAGAGGCAGCTTGTTCGAAGTCAACTCAGCACCCTGTCCACAATAGAGTTAAAGAGAATTTCTTAGGATTCCAAGGATCTGTGTAAGACAATCATTTTGTCTGACCTCAAGTACTCTCAGTCAATGTAAAGTGAAGGTAAAATCCTATTTCAACAGATACGAGCATCAGAGAATTGTTCCAAATGTTACCAATCAGAGATTTAGAAAAAGATAACCATATTTAAAGAAGAGAGCCTCTGGCTTTTTGAGGAACTCAAGAAAGTGAGTAAACCATAATTATGCATATTCAAAAGAAAAGTACATGAAGGCACTTACGCATGTCACCGAAGGCGCCCTTTGTCACTTTGGTGGCACGTAACACGACCACCCTGAACTCGTGGGAATACTGGTGCTCCACCTGGAAAGAAAATGATAGTAAACTAAAAATAAACTTCCAATATAAGATCCAAATAGATGTGTCTCCTTGTTTCCTTGAGTCTAATTAAAAAGATTGTAGTTGAAAGGAAGTAACATGCATACCAGAAACATTCTTTGATCCGCAGGCTGTTCCTTTCTTGATTCTCTCCTCTCCCATCATAGAATTACTGAGGAGTTTAGATCATGCTTCGAGGTGTCACTACAGCTTGACTCTAAGGAGTTCTCTGCTGTTAGGTTTCCCAAGCACTTGGGAAAAAATGTAAATCAGGACGGTAGTCCTTCTAGGAGCACAATCAGGCTTTGTACTGGATGACTAAGAAAAGCCCTGCCTTAGAAAAGCAAGGTCAGAGCAAGATGTTTGCATTATTTAGGTTTGTTTGGTTTTATCATTACTGTTCAGTACGATTCTTTTTTTGGCAAGACATTTCCAGAGCAGTTTTCAAAATCCTTTGGACCCAAGGCAATAACAGGTAATGTACTTATATTAATTTTAATGCATTTGTTATAAACCACTTGCAACAATGTTAAAAGTTTCTCTTAGCCTAATAGTTTACAGGCATATCATAAATATTAACAGGTAGAAGGCTTTATCAAACACTTAACTAGAAATTACTTGTCAAACTCTAGCCAACACACAGAACGGGGAAGCAGGAACACTCCTAGTTGTCTGAGCAACTGAAAAATTACAAGCCTTCATCTAAAACTCAAGAATTTTTGTTTTCTTACAAGAGGCTCACATTTATAAGCTTTCCTACCATTCTTATTTTTAACAGACTTTCCTAACTAGTTAAAAAGTCCATAATTGTTTAAAAAGAAGCTAAAATACTAATATTATTGACAAGTGAATAATAACAGTCTAAAAACAAAGAGGCAGAAAAATATTATAAAATACAGAGTGATAAGGACCAGAATTAGTGGGATTAAACGTTATACAGCATTCACACTTTCTCAAAATATCATTCTATCAATAGAGTAATTAATGCTCAGATTCATAAAACAGCATCAAGGAGAGGGGAAGTCATGAATGATGAGCATACTTTGTTTATAAAGGCAGAGAAGCATGTAAAACCTCTCAAGAGAAATGACTTCTGTGTTTAGAAGAGCTCTGAGTAGTCAAAGTTTAATGCTACAGAAACACAATTATCAACCATGAGGAAAACATGAACGCTTTCTTTAAAAATGCATGGCCTTAAACTATAGCTAAAATTCACATGCAGGCTCTACCCACCCCCCTACCCCAGCAAAAGAGAGAGAGAGAGAAGAGAGAGAAAGAGGGAGGGAGAGAATCCACTATTACAGTTGGAGACTTCAATACCTCTCTATCACAAATGGACATATCCAACAGGCAGACAATCATTAAGGACATAATTGAACTCAATGCCGCCATCAGTCAACTAGATATAATTGTCATCTGTAGACTATTTCATCCAGCAATAGCAGAACACACATTCTTCTTAAGTTCACATGGAACATTCATACAGTGTCTCTCACACCACAGTAGATTAAACCAGAAATCAATAAAAGAATGAATGCTGGAAATCACAAAGTACTTAGAGATTAAATATTATACTTCTAAATAACACATTTGTCAAAGAAGAAGTTTCAGGAGAAGTTTTAAAATATTTGGAACTAAATGGAAATGAAACTGCAATTTATCAAAATTTGGGGGAATACAGTGAATGTAATGCTTAGTAGGAAATTTAAGGCATTAAATAATATATATCACACATCTTTTAAATATATAAAAATATATTTTTATATAAAAAATATATAAAATATCATCCAAGTGTTTAGGAAAAAAGAAAAAGGACTAGTTAAGTCCAAAATAAGCAGAAGAAAAATAGTAAAAATTAGAGCCTAAGTGAATAAAATTGAAGATGGAAAATCAATAAAGAAAATCAATGAGACCAAGTATTAGTTATTTGAAAAGATTAATAAAATTGATAAGCCTCTAGCTGGGTAAATAAGAAAAAAAGATAGAGAACATAAATTAATATAAATGATTGAGGGATGTTCATAACAGATCCTATGGACACTGAAAAGATATTAAGGAAACAACTCAAAGCCCAAAATTTGATAACCTAGATTAAATGAACCAATTTTTTGAAAGATATAATCTGTCAAAAGTCACACAAGTAGCAAGACAATAAGAATAGACCTAAAGCAATAAATATATTGAATCAATACTTAATCCTCCAAAACAGAAAGCATCAAGCCCAGATGGATTCACTGATAAATTCTACCAAACACTTAAGGAAGAAATTACACCAATATTCTTCAATCTCTTCCGAAAGAGAGAAGCAAAGGAAATAGTTCTTAACTCATAATCTAAAGCTGGTACTACCATGATAACAAAATCAGAAAGAGACATTACAAGAAAAGGAAACTATGGACCAATATCTGTCATAAACACAGATGTAAAAATTCTCAAGAAATTTACCAAATAAAATCCAACAATATATAAAAGAAATAATAACTACAACCAAGCCAGACTTATCCCAGGTATGGAAGGCTGGTTCTGCATTGAAAATCGATTAATATAATTCATCATATCAATAGACTTAAGAAGAAAAATCACCTGATGTCAGTTGATGCAAAAAAAAATTACTTGACAAAATTCAACACCTATTTATGATAAAAACTGCCAGCAATCTAGGAATAGATGGAACTTCTTCAACTTGACAAAGAGTATCTATAACAAGCCTACAGCGAATACAATACTTAATGGTATAAAACAAAGCTTTCCTACAAAGATCAGGAACAAGACAAGGCCATCTCCTCTCACCACTCCTTTTTGGCATTATACTGGGTGCCATAGTTAATGCAATAAAATAAGAAAAGGAAATAAAATATATACAGATCATGAAGGAAGAAATAAAACTGTTTTTGTTCACAGATGACATAACTGTCTATGTAGAAAACCCAATAGAATTGGTTTTTAAAACTCCTGGAATTAATAAGTAATTATAGCAAGGTTGTAAAATATAAAGTTAATATGCAATCTCCTATATACCAAAAATGAGTAAGTGGAATTTGAAATTAAAAACATAATACCATTTATATTAGCACCCTTCCACAAAACGAAACACTTACACATCTTTACAAAGTGTAAAAGGTCTATGTGAGGAAAGTGACAAAATTCTAGTGAATGAAAGCAATGAAGATCTAAATAAATAGAGAGAAATTCTCTGTTCATGGATAGAAGAATGAATATTGTCAAGATATTACTCCTTCCCAACTTAATCCACAGATTCAGTGCATTTACAATCAAAATCTCCGCAGGTTATTTTGTGGATATCAAAAAACTGATTCTAAAGTTTATACAGAAAGGCAAAAGACCCAAAATAGCCAACAAAATATTAAGGAAAAGACCATAGTTGAAGGACTAATGCCACCTGACTTCAATACTTATTAAAAATCTACATGAATCAAAACAGTATGATGTTGGTTAAATTGTATACAAATAGACAAATGGAATGGACCAGAGACCCCAGAAATAGAGTGACACAAATATGGTGAACTGATCTTTGATAAAGGAGCAAAGCACAATACAATAGAGAAAGCATAGTCTATTCAACAAACGATGTTGTAACAATTAGACGTACGCATGCAAAAAATAACAAAAGATTCTAGACAAGTGATATCTGGGCTTGAAAGAGAGTAAGTAGATTCCTCTGAGACCCAATTTAGAGATTAGCTTTCTCCACTAAAGAGAAATCACTAATAATTATTATATGTAATAGCACAGCACCCAAAATTATTTATGATCTTTTTCCATACCCAAGAATTTCTAATACCACATGAGTTTCCAAAGGTCAAAAATTCCCATGTCACAGAAATTATTAGCAATAGTTTTAACTATTATTTAACACAATATTTCAAATTGTTGCAAAAGCTCTCATACGTCAAATGTTTATTAACATCTTGTACTGAGAAAGATATTGTTATTATGAGGATTCACTGAGTATAAACTGTATGGTAGACATTCTACTAGATGCAAATTCTTATTTAATTTTCCTTCCCCAAACCCTATAAATCAGGTGTTATTACTTATATTTAAGGATGAGTAATGTGAGATTCTAATTAGTTAATTTCCCGGTATCTTATAAATAGTGAACGTTAGATTTGAATTAGAATCCACTCTTGCTGTTCCCAATATTTTACTCTTTCTACATTCCTTTACTTGCACAAAGAATAATAACACAAATACCAATATCTTTAATGGTAAAAAAAAAAGACTGTTCCTATTTATTAAGTGATATAGAAAGTTACAGTCTAGTTGGTCTATTATATCTGTGGTTAATCTAAACTCTATTTTTGGATTATTTCATTTGTCACTCAGCTCTACATTTTAATCTGCTTTTATTTCCACTGGTCTCAATTCTGTCTTCTTAACTGCTCATATAATGAATGAGATATGCCATACTGTTCACAAGAATTAAGGAGCAAACCAACTCTCTCTTGGTTTTTTACAAGTTCATTTTGGAAACATCATAAATCTTCAAATCACCTGTAAATTATTTTTGAAACAGAAGTGTCAGAATCATGCCAATCTTTAAAAGCTATAATGATTAATAAGAGAGTATCTATCTATAAAGTTCATGCAAATTCTTGGAGAAAAGGGCTCAGTTTCAAGCAATGATTATCTAAATAGTTTTTGATAATCCCCTGCCTTGTTCCCAGGGCCAGTATCATATAAAATTTCAAACTAGTATGAACAGGGCTAGCTTCTGACTTGAATAGGAGACTTTTCATTCTGTCTCCAGGATGGTGCCAGAGGAAATGATATTACAGAATCCACAACCAGCGTTCCCAAGGTAACTAATGACTCAGCCCAAAAAACGATGCCATATTCCAATTGAGATGTCAAATATACTGACTTAGTCACCAAAACTAAGCCTTGCCTTCAGGTCTTGGATTACCTTAATTTGAGGGTCTTTCTTCATCTATAATATTTTCCATAGTGAAAATCACAACACT